GCTAACCACTAAGCCACTATGCTGCCCATATTAGCAAATAATAACATACCAACATAATAATATACCAACATAAACATATGAAACATAAAGGCTTGGATGACCATGTGTCAATGAATACTTAGGTAAGGTGATCAACAACAATTGAGGATGTTGCTACATGTCAGGTAATTGTATCCACTTACCACTAGGTGGTGCCTGCATATTCTTCTTTTAAACTGGTGATCATGGGGTATCATAAAGTCCTGTGCTGGAATATTCATCTCATCACCAGAACCAAATGACTGGATAACAGGTGGTTTATGTCTGACTCAGAGAGCAAGATCACAGAGGAGTACCTTCAGGTAAAGCTATCTTTGTCTTCTAATACTGCATTATGCTGTCAGTGTGGAATGCTGAAACATGCAAATCTGGGAGTTTATTGGTACTGCTAACAAAACGCATGCAGATTAGCTTTACTTGGCTGCCCAAAACCTTTTGCACATTTTTGCAAACTTTAAACTTAGCAGAACCTTTAGAAAGACATGGAAATCTGATTAAGTTCTCTTTTTTGCATAGAAATTGACTATTAGAAACAGACCTAGTTGATGGTTTGTAAAAGCAAGTGGAACACAAGGTGAAAAGATTTTATGGGAATAGTCTTGTATTGTTCACAGCAAGAATCAGTTCACAATGTTCCAGAGCACTCCTTATATTGTATATACAGTCAGGTCCATAAAATATTGGGACATCGACACAATTCTAACATTTTTGGCTCTATACACCACCACAATGGATTTGAAATTAAACAAACAAGATGTGCTTTAACTGCAGACTGTCAGCTTTAATTTGAGGGTATTTACATCCAAATCAGGTGAACGGTGTAGGAATTACAACAGTTTGCATATGTGCCTCCCACTTCTTAAGGGACCAAAAGTAATGGGACAATTGGCTTCTCAGCCGTTCCATGGCCAGGTGTGTTTTTTCCCTCATTATCCCAATTACAATGAGCATAAAAGGTCCAGAGTTCATTTCAAGTGTGCTATTTGCATTTGGAATCTGTTGCTGTCAACTCTCAAGATGAGATCCAAAGAGCTGTCACTATCAGTGAAGCAAGTCATCATTATGCTGAAAAAACAAAACAAACCCATCAGAGAGATAGCAAAAACATTAGGCGTGGCCAAAACAACTGTTTGAAACATTCTTAAAAAGAAGGAACGCACCGGTGAGCTCAGCAACACTAAAAGACCCGGAAGACCACGGAAAACAACTGTGGTGGATGACCGAAGAATTCTTTCCCTGGTGAAGAAAACACCCTTCATAACAGTTGGCCAGATCAAGAACACTCTCCAGGAGGTAGGTGTATGTGTGTCAAAATCAACAATCAAGAGAAGACTTCACCAGAGTGAATACAGAGGGTTCACTACAAGATGGAAACCATTGGTGAGCCTCAAAAACAGGAAGGCCAGATTAGAGTTTGCCAAACGACATCTAAAAAAGCCTTCAAAGTTCTGGAACAACATCCTATGGACAGATGAGACCGAGATCAACTTGTACCAGAGTGATGGGAAGAGAAGAGTATGGAGAAGGAAAGGAACTGCTCATGATCCTAAGCATACCACCTCATCAGTGAAGCATGGTGGTGGTAGTGTCATGGCGTGGGCATGTATGGCTGCCAATGGAACTGGTTCTCTTGTATTTATTGATGATGTGACTGCTGACAAAAGCAGCAGGATGAATTCTGAAGTGTTTCGGGCAATATTATCTGCTCATATTCAGCCAAATGCTTCACAACTCATTGGACGCCGCTTCACAGTGCAGATGGACAATGACCCAAAGCATACTGCAAAAGCAACCAAAGAGTTTTTTAAGGGAAAGAAGTGGAATGTTATGCAATGGCCAAGTCAATCACCTGACCTGAATCCGATTGAGCATGCATTTCACTTGCTGAAGACAAAACTGAAGGGAAAATGCCCCAAGAACAAGCAGGAACTGAAGACAGTTGCAGTAGAGGCCTGGCAGAGCATCACCAGGGATGAAACCCAACGTCTGGTGATGTCTCTGCGTTCCAGACTTCAGGCTGTAATTGACTGCAAAGGATTTGCAACCAAGTATTAAAAAGTGAAAGTTTGATTTATGATTATTATTCTGTCCCATTACTTTTGGTTCCTTAATAAGTGGGAGGCACATATGCAAACTGTTGTAATTCCTACACCGTTCACCTGATTTGGATGCAAATACCCTCAAATTAAAGCTGACAGTCTGCAGTTAAAGCACATCTTGTTCGTTTCATTTCAAATCCATTGTGGTGGTGTATAGAGCCAAACATGTTAGAATTGTGTCAATGTCCCAATATTTATGGACCTGACTGTAAATACATCAATGAAGCTACACAACTGGAAGATCGTTGCAGCATTAAAGCCACAGCCTACACATGCACCTGGCAAACCCGAGCTCCACAGCAATCTGTCATGCAGGACGTTCGGCTTGTCCTTAGGCAACATGGTTCAGGCCAGGAAAAGCACCCCTTGAAAATTTTAGTGGAGTAGTATTTATTGGTTGCCTTTGGTATCTGGACTTGTTTTGTTTTATTTTTTTATGTACAATTTTTTGTGTTGATTATACTAAGGTCAGCCCAACATCAAAAGTCTTTAGTCAGCATCAATTTCAAATCTTCTCTGCACATCACACACTCTGCCTGGCTTCATTTGGCAGCAGAAATCAGGGTTGGCTCCCGGCAGTCCACCAGACCTCTCCCTAGTATGAAAGATCATGAGCTCCCTACTCTAAGCATCTTTTTTTTTCTTTTATGCTGTCTTTTGTGCTTATATGAACAACAGATCATTTTTATTCCCTTTATATTATTTCTACTCTCTTTCCCTGGATCTGTTTATTATCCAGTGCATACAGACAGTCACAAAAAATCTGTTCAGTCCTTTCATCCCTAAACTGAATTTTCCTGTTGAAGGTTTTGGAAAACATCCCACTTAAATATATATGTGTGTGTGTGTATATTTTATATATATATATATATATATATATATATATATAGACTAAGGGGTTTAAAAAGATAAAATGACAACCTATAGCCCTATGTGTATGTACGTAGATATGTATGTATGTATGTATGTATGTGTGTGTGTGTGTGTATATATATATATATATATATATATATATATATATATATATATATATATATATATATATATATATTCCTAGATTGTAAGCTCCAAAGAGCAGGGCCCTCAATCCCCTCATGTTTTGCATTGTTTTGGTATTGTTCTGTCACATGTTCTGTCCCCCTTTGTAATGTACAGCGCTGAGCGAACTATTGGCGCTTTATAAATACTGTATAATAATAATAATTATATATATATATATATATATATACACACACACAAAAGTAAATATATAGTATAGGGAGTTGTTTTATCTTTTTAAACCCCTTAGTCCATAGGCCTGTACGCAAATTTATTTCAATAGTATATCCACTTTTCCTTGAGAATAAACTTTAGTATTATATTTTTGACAGTCTGCAGTTAGATGAAGAAACCTGGCGACTGCCTAGAATCGGTAACATTTTCATATATATTTTGAGAGCATATATGAAAATGCAATATATAAATAAGAAAATAAATGTGTGTTAACCCCCCCACCACCCTCTCTCTCGCCCTCGCCTGACACCACTCTCGATTCATCCCTGTTCCCTCCACCAGCCCCACTCTGCCCTTTTCCTGCATTCACAAGCTTTACTGAGAGTAGTAATTGGCTCTTGCTGCTGTCTGTCAGTCAAATCCAGTGAGGTGGAGCAGGGGCAGGGCAAAGCCGCACTGTGTGTGTCTATGGATGTATGCAACCCAGCTTAGGAGCATACCCACACAAGTGCCCCCCATAGCAAGTTGCTTGCTATGAGGGCACTCTGAGAAATGGAGGAGTAAAGAGCGCCAGCAGGGGACCACAGAAGAGGAGGTTCAGGACCTCTCTGTGCAATATTATTGCCCAGAACAGGTAAGTATAACATGTTTGTTGTTTTAATAAAAAAATATCTTTAGTCACTTCTATAGAGGTTGATTTTATACACTCTGATGGGTTTGCATGCAAATTTGTAACGTACAATTTATTATGCTAATTATTATATGTTGTCCCAGGTATGGAGCGATGGGATTCTATTTTGGAAAAAATAAAATCTTCTGATGAAAACAAATAATTTGTGACATTTTCCATGAACATTTTTAGAGCCAATACTTTTATTCAGCTTTGAGCAACCAGTATCTACAAATACCTAAGGTAAGTAGTGTTTTGTCTTATATACTAAAGATAAGTGGGCAGGACACTGTTGTGCTGTTACGCCATCATGATAGAGATCGAAAAATTAAAGCTATAGGATAGGAAAATTTTTATGTACGCTTATACTGGATTGTCAAAAATAAGTATTTTTGTATCACTATTACAATGCTAATGTTATTAAATGAAAGTGTATGCTGTAACCATAGAACGCCTTTAAATGTTTTTTTTTTTTTTTTAGATTTGGATAGAAAAGTTTGGATAGAATGGTTTGAACCCCTGTTAGATTTTACTTCTTTTCGGGGCTCTCTTAACCACTAGCCTACAGGGCACTTATACCCCCTTCCTGCCCAGGCCAATTTCCAGCCTTCAGCTCTGTCGCACTTTGAATGACAATTGCGCGGGTCATGCAACACTGTACCCATATGAAATTTTTATCTTTTTTTTTTGTGACAGATGGAGCTTTATTTTGGTGGTATTTAATCACCTCTGGGTTTTTTATTTTTTCTTAAACCAAAAACCACAGAAAATTTTGAAAAAAAAAAGTTTTTTCTTAGTTTTTGTTATAAAATTTTGTAAGTAAGTGATTTTTATCCTTCACTGATGTGCAGTAATGAGGCTGCAGTGATGGGCTGCACTGATGGACATTGATAGGTGGCACTGATGGGCATTGACAGGCATCACTGATGGGCACTGAAAGGCAGCACTCATATATGGCACTGATAGGCGGCACTGACTGGCACTGTTAGGCGGCACTGATGCACACTGATAAGCGGCACTGACTGGCACTGATAGGTGGCACTGATTGGCAGCACTGATAGGTGGCACTGATAGGTGGCACTGATGGTGGCACATGGGTGACACTAAAAGGCAACTCAGATGGGTACTGATATGTGGCATTGATTTGCACTGGTAGGCACTGATATGTGGCACTGATGGGCACTGGCAGGTGGCATGGATGAGTACTGACAGCTGGCACTGATGGACACTGACAGGTTGCACTGCTGGGGCTACACAGATGATCAGTGTACATGTCCCCTCTGAGGGATGCCGATTACCTGCTCTGCTCTCCTCTCGAGCTGTCACCATGACAGCTCGTGAGGAGAGAAATGCCGATAACTGGCATTTCCCTATTTACATGTGATCAGCTGTGATTGGACACAGCTGATCACATGACCGAGCCGACATCTTCGGCTCTTTCCATTGATCGGTGATCCGCTGTGTCCGAGGGACACGGCGCACCACCGATTTGCCGAGCTGCACGCTCCCAGAGCCGTTCATGCGCAGTTAGAATGGGACGTCATATGACGTCCTCCCAGAACGAGCGAACCGCCTTGCGCCCGTCATTGTACTATATGGCGGGCGGGAGGTGGTTAAAGAGATTTCCCCTCACTTCCTGTTTAGAGGACATTTTACCTGAAAGGAAGTGAGATAAAGTCAGCAACAGGAAAACAGATAATAAAAAACTGACAGGTTCTAGTCCTCTTGTATGTAAATTAAAGCAAACCTTCTCACTGAAAGATGGCTATGCTCCCCTTAAACTCCCTGATCCTTCCGCAATGTGAAAATCCCCCCCTTCCTCTCTTATTTAAATTTTTTTTTTTTTCAGTATATACATTTTCAGCCAGCTTGCCATCTATCAATTCTTGCCCAGGCAAGAATGATGTGCTCCACTTCTGGTGCCACCTGGAATATGCATGGCACATTTCTCAGGAGGCATTGGCTTCCATGCAGTGAATCAAGCTGGAGAGCAGGCCTGGTGGTGCGTCCTTGGTGGCCAGCTGGTTAGACCTGGAAGAGACAGCCAGCTTGTGGTGATGTCAGGGAAGATTATGTCGGTAAGGGATCTGGTGATCAGCCACGTAAAGTGGATCATAGCAGGACATTGCTGGATTTGGTGAGTTGGTAAGTATCTGAATTGAAGACAACCCAGCATTAGATAAAAAGCGGTTTAAAATAATATAATAAGAAAAATAAAATTTTATAATAATACCAAATTAATAAACCAGGGGGATTTGGGGGGGGGTAGCAAAAAGGTTGTCCTTGGGGCAGGAAGTGAGGGGAAATCTCTCTAACTGAGCACTGGACACCAGTGAAGCCCCATCAGGCAGACATTATAACTAATAGTCCAATTTTTATAAATGTAGCCTGCTTTTAATATTTTTTGCTGTTTTCTACATAGACAACCCACGCTTTTATTGTTTTGTGCTTAAAAAATGATGAGGTATTGAAAACAACAAGAAAAGGTCAGCATCTCATTCAGGGAACAACACATCAAACACATCAACAACAGTCATCTGCATTCGTTTATCAAAGATATTCATAATTGCCAAACAGTTACTACCTTGGTAACCTTATTATCATCCACTATAGAAGCTCTCATGGAAAATAGTCATGTGATGTGCATATAATGAGAAGGACTTTTTACAAAGAATCTGGGAGGATTAATATCTGGATGCTTTTCTAATTAAACCAATATGTTTAGCTCTGTCTCTAATAGATGTTCCAATTTTGGCCTCTTCATTCTTCAAAAAAAAAAAACATATGTCATGTCTTCATATTTTTTGTACACCATGGGATGTTTTTTAAACATTGTCCTTTTTTTTGCTATTTGTTGACCACATTTTTTCCTTGTATCTTTTATATTTGTAGCTTTGTATGGCTTGTCTAATTGCAGGCACTTGACAGTAGGTGAACCCTTTTGGCACAGCAACCAGAATTGCAGATGTTTCATTTATAGCCAGGCTTTCCTTTGGCACATCCATACGTGCCAATCTTGGGACACCTGTCCTCCCTTCCCAGCGGAGTTGTTTATTTGGTTGTATAGTGTTTTATGATTGCTACCATGCATTGTCACTGCAAAACTATGGGTCATGTCGCCTTGGTGCTACTTCCATGGTTTTAGTAATTTTTGATAGAGAAGTCCTCACTACCCCTGCTCATCAGCATAGCAACCACTGTTCACTCAGGGACCAGTCTGTTGGCTTCTGCTGTACTGTCAGTCATATGACTACATGTTACACAGTGCAGTACATACTAGGTGAGCTGTTCCTGTACATAACAGCATGTAGGCAGGTGGAAGTGAGAATATCTCTTTAACAGCAGAACACTTCCCCTTAGTTGGTGGCTGGTAGGATTGCCCTGCCCTCTCATTTTTATATTTAAAAAGAGGAGTCTGGCTTTTTCTCTTGGAATGCAAACAGCAAAAGAGAGGGATGGGTATGTGAGAATGGGAGAGCTCCGCCTGGAGCTTGGAGAGGAGGCTCTGGAGCAGAAGAGGCCTAAGGCATGGGACTAGCGCGCCATGTAACAGCAATGAGTACACCACAATACCCCTCTTGTAAACCCGTGTGATATTGGGACAATATTAGAACTGTTGCTCAGTTAGTACTATGACTTTGGAAACTAACCTATACAACGTTACATGAGATACAAAAGTATAGACTGTTATGTTTTCATTCACCTTAAATATTGTAACTTGAGTTAAAAGCAAAAAAACTCCAGATCTCTTTATGGTCTCAACTGGGGAACATTATCCAGCAAGTGTGGTTTATGAAGCTACTTCTCTGTGGTATGTGTAAAGAAGAGTAAATTCAGGTAAGTGTGGAGTCATATTAACTGTGAAGCGTTTGGTGCAAACCTGGTTAGCCACAGAGCTGTGGTGGTTGGAGTCACGCTCCGTGTGATAAAAGATGGCCCTCTTAAGGTAACACTCATCAGATGACTTGGGCCCCAGTTATCCAGATGGACTTTGGGAGCTCTCACCTGGACCATGAATAGGTCACAGACGTGCTGGCATGTGCTGTGGACAAAAAGGGGTTAAGTAGCTGTGACCAAGGGGATGCAGGAAAGACTGTGGTCTTTGACTTGCATCCATGCATGTGTTATGGTAAGAGCTTGGCAGGAAGAAATGGTCATATTTCTGAAGTTCTGTTTAATAGGTGACATACTCTGCTGCATATACCCATCATGTGTATGGTACAGAGTGACCCAGCTTCAAGCAGATGTCATGTTGACCAGCAGGTCCAGAGTGGTGAGACTTTTTTATCCAAATCCAAGAGACTGGCTTCCCCATTGTTGCTCCTGAGAGGCAATATTGGTTGGAACCAGGGATTTTGACCCATACCTTGCATCAGGGCTGAGGAGTGTCAGGTTATGCCATTAAATGAAGCAATACATTACTGGATTTCATGCATGATTTGAATATCTCTTTGAAAGCAGAGGAAGAATAACCTGTGACTTACAATATGAGGAAAAGTACAATATTATTTATTTATTATTATTTATTTATTACATCAAGTTTATATAGCGCCAAAGGGTTTGCTCAGCGCTGTACAATAGGGGGGACAATACATGGCACAGTACAACAAAAACAGACAGCCTACGAGGGGTAAGAGGGCCCTACTCTTTCAAGCTTACAATCTAGGAGGGAGGGGGTAGTGGAACAATAGGTAGTGGCTGAAGTGGGATGAAGTGGTGGGAGGAATGAGGGAGGATAGCCGTTAGGTGAGGGTGGGGTAGGCTTCCCTGAAGAGATGGGTTTTGAGGGAGCGCCTGAATGTGGGGAGGGAAGGCGACAGTCGGATGGATTGGGGCAGTGAGTTCCAGAGGATAGGGGAGGACCTGGAGAAGTCCTGCAGTTGTGCATGGGAGGAGGAGACCAGGGAGCAGGATAGAAGGAGGTCCTGTGAGGAGCGAAGGGTACGGGTAGGGTGGTACTTGGGGATCAGGTTGGTGAGGTAGTCAGGGGCAGTGTTGTGAACGGCTTTGTAGGTCAGGATTAGAAGTTTAAATTTGATGCGTTGGGCAATCGGGAGCCAGTGGAGGGAGAGGCAGGGGGGGGTGGCAGAGGTGGAGCGGGTGGTGAGGTGAGGTGGATGAGTCTGGCCGCTGAGTTCAGGATGGTCTGGAGCGGGGAGAGCCTGCACTTGGGTAGGCCAATGAGAAGAGAGTTGCAATAGTCAAGGCGTGAGATGATGAGGGAGTGTACAAGAAGTTTGGTGGTGTCTGGGGTGAGGAAGGCACGTATCTTGGCAATATTGCGGAGATGGAGCCTGCATGTGTTTGCAAGTGATTTGACATGAGGGAGGAAGGAGAGGTTCGAGTCAAGAATGACGCCAAGGACTTTGGCTTGCGGGGCGGGAATGATAGTGGTGTTGGTGGTGGTGATGGATAGGCTGGGGGGGGGGGGTGTGTAAGCAGGGGGAAAGACGAGGAGTTCGGTTTTGGAGAGGTTAAGCTTGAGGAAATGGAGCGACATCCAGTCTGAGATGTCGTTTAGGAGGTGAGTGATGCGGGCAGAGATAGTGGGGGTGAGGAGAGGGGTGGAGAGGTAGATTTGGGTGTCGTCAGCATAGAGGTGATAATTGAAGCCATGGGAGTGTATGAGTGTGCCCAGGGAGGAGGTGTAGATGGAGAAGAGAAGGGGTCCAAGGACAGAGCCTTGGGGGACCCCAACAGAGAGGGGGAGGGAGGGGGAGGTGGTACCATTGTAGGTGACGCTGAAGGAGCGTCGGGATAGGTAGGATGAGAACCAGGAGAGAGCGGTATCTCTGATGCCAAGGGAGAGTAGTTTATTAAGGAGGAGGGGGTGGTCGACTGTGTCGAAGGCCGCAGAGAGGTCCAGGAGAAGGAGGACAGAGTAGTCGCCTTTGGCTTTGGCGTTTAGTAGGTCGTTAGTGATTTTGAGGAGGGCAGTTTCAGTGGAGTGTAGGGGACGGAAGCCGGACTGTAATGGGTCAAGGAGGTTATTGTCAATAAGGTGGGCGCTTAGGCGATCGTAGACTATGCGCTCAAGGAGCTTGGAGGTGAGTGGCAGCAGGGAGATGGGTCTGAGGTTGTTGGGGTCCGCGGGATCCAGGGAGGGCTTTTTGAGGATGGGGGTGATATGTGCGTGCTTTAGGGGGGAGGGGAATGCGCCAGTAGAGAGGGAGAGATTGAAGATGTGGGTGAGGGAGCCGATGAGGGAAGAGGGGGGGGGGTGACCGGAGGAGTTGAGAGGGGATAGGGTCCAGGGGGCAGGTAGTGAGGTGGGCTTCTGAGAGGACCTTGACGATTTCCTCAGTAGTGACAGAGCTGAGGGAGTGCAGTGCAGGGGGGGTTACGGTGGGCAGGGCCTTGGGAGCGGTGGAGGGCAGTGCGGTTGTGAGGGCAGAGGAGGGGGGAGAAGAAGGGGTGACGGGGGTGGGGAGGCTAGGTGGGGAGGTAGATTGCG